TGGAGCTGCTCTGCGTCAACCTGCTCCTGTCCCCGTGGCGAAAGGAGATCAGGTCGCTGAAGGTAGGGAGGCGCCCGGCCAGGGGAGCAGCCAGCCCCGGGGAGGGCATGGCGCGGCCTCGGGGCCTGGCGGTGAGGAGTGCCCAGAGGCACCCGCCGCCCGGGCAGTTGGGAGCAGCGTTTAGGAGCCCCTTTTGAACGGGTTAGGCGTGCCCTGAGCGGCGCGAGGGTACCGCGAGGTGTGCGTTGGCCTTTGTCGTCGCCGAGGCCAGACCTTCCGGGGCCTTCCCAGGAGTGCTGAGCAGCTCGGGGGGTTGGAAACGGAGACCCTCGGTTACTGCGAGGCGTTGGAGGAGTGAAAAGCTACAGTGAGAGGCTTAGACTCTCGTTACTCTGAGTTTTAACCTTAATTTGCCTGTATTATCACTTTTGTGAACAGCCTGATGCCAAAGGCCAGGTGGGGCAGTGTCTCTCTGGTCCAGCGATTTTGCCACCTGTCATAGCTCTGGCGATCGCAGCTGGTGAAGCGGGTAGGAAAACCCCCTTTGAAAGAGGAAATTTTTTGCAGCAAGGTGGTCAAGGTTACCGACATACTGAACAAGTCTCCTTGCCTAGAAGAGACAGCAATCTTCAACACATGCAAAATCTACCTGTATTTAAACATTCCCTGAACACCCAAAATGCAAACTTACTTCCCTATTTACAGCAACAGGTGCTGATGAGGCAAAGCCATTTCTTTCCTTCTGCTTGCCCTTGGGTCTCATCTGCAGATTCTTGAAACAGCTGTAGATTTCTATTCTCATTCATCTCCCTGAAACAGGACAATGCCTAAGATATTCAGGTCTACAGTTAGTGGGCTCAGTTTTTCATAACACAAGAATCCTAGGCTTCATTAAAATCAATTTTTTAAGACCACTGGGAGTATTCCAAAGTGCAAGACAGCCTGCTGAAGGCCTGAAATAATTCTCCTGCAAGGCACAAGTTGGAGAACTGACAGTATCTTGTGTATGTACAGGTTTGATAAGAAGTTACTGGTCATATGCAGAATACTGCATCACATATTTCCTGCCTCTCATGCTCTCTGATGCCACACACACACACACACACACAGAGCCTGCTCCTTACTTCCCCTCTAGAAGGAACAGAAGCTGGGGGGTGAAAGGCACTCTTGACAACTTCATCTGAGAATGGAGCGAGGCTCAGTGCTACATTACACTGTCATCTTTCAGGTTAACAACCTTCTAGGGGGTCAGTTGTGTTCTCCCCAAGCTTGTGCATGTGAGACCAGCGCTTAGGTCTTAACCTTAGGAATTAAGTAGGTAAGTCTCAAGCTGGCACCCTGAAAATAAAGTGCCCCAGTTCTGGAAGTCTTGACTTTTCACTCCTCCCTCCATTCTGTTGTGACTTGCCTGGAGTTGATCATGCTTAGCTCAGCGTAGTCTCTCCTGTCACAGTGTTTCAGACAAAACCAAAAACCACCTCCAGTCTACACACTAGGCCTCGTGCCTGGGGTAGCTCCAAAACCGAGCAAGTGTTGAACGATTTTTTTCGTTACGCAGCAGCAGCATTTTCTTCAAGCCGTGTTTTGCAGACAGCTTGTGCAAAGAGTGTGTTTTGGCAGTATTTCTGCTAGAATAGTCTCCCTTCAAGAAAGTGCTTTCAGAGAAATGGCAACTTAATTTGGGGGTAGTAGAGTTACAGCAGGAGTCTGAACCATGGAAGAAGAAAACATTACAGTCTTGTAATTAAGAAACACAATTAACAATGAGTGTGCATCATGTCTGTTTCTTTAGACCTCAGTTATTTATTCTATGAATCTGTTAGTTTAAAACACTTCCATTCTCCAGTACAGCACATCAGACATTGCTGAGTTTCTCGTTTGACTAATACGATTTTCTTACTCTCTTCCTTTTTTACTACTGATGCTCTTAGCCAGTATCTTGGCAGGTTTAAACTGGCATAACTTCACTGAAACTGATGTACTGTAGCAAATCTATAATGCTTGAGAGGCTGACAAAGTAAGACAAGCCTCACTCAATTCCAAATTCACACTTTTAGGAACATAGGGAGGGTTTTTTTAAGATTGAAGTAATTTTTGAAGTACTTTTTAAAAGTTTTTCACACTTCCCTCCACCTCACTCTGCCAGTGTTCATCTGTTTTTCAATGTTACATTCTGTTTCAGACATTCACCGGTAATTTTGTCTACTATATTCAATCTGTGCTCCCAGATGACATTGTAAAAACAGTACTGGAGAAAATGGGTTACATTGCAACAACAGCAACAGAGTTTTCACTTGTCAAAAAGAGAAACAATGAGGAAACAAAGCAGACTGCATTTGAAATATTCCTGGCAAGAATTGAGTGTGAAACCATCCTCGAAATGACAAATGAAGAAAAACATGGCAATTTGGAGAATACCCTACAGAAGAGAACACAAATGTACTGGCATCATGAAGATGAGGACAAGGAGGATCAGACACCCCAGAGAGAAGATGCTGAAAATCTAGAAAATAAAGAAAACGTTGAGGCATCTTTGTGCCTTGCTACTCCACAGAAGTCTTCAGCTAATAGCGATGTGGCCTTTGAAGCTGCTGGGAACCTGAAGATCAAAGATGACATGCCTCAGTTAGCAGTTCCTCAACCCACTAACAGGCTTCAGGAACTCCAAAGGCAAGTCATTAACACTGTGCATTTTCCAGGCAAATGCTCAGACAGCGAGGACTTCTTGATCAAGTATAGTGACATTGTCATAAGACAAAAACCTATTTTCAGTGAGAATCTTTCTCCAAAAGGTTTTGAAAAAAAGCCAAGTGCTAGTCTAAGTGAGGAATGTGTTTTGGCAGTCACCCCAGAGTCAGCTGCAAATGAGATCAGGCCTGTGCCACTCTCACCAGGAGCAAGCGGTCCGCCAGCCTTTGCAATGTTTGCTGACAGCTCTTGTGACAGCAAAACCACTTTGCAGTACAAAGCCCAAGAAGTCTCTGAAGAATCAATCGAAGCAGAAATTAACGATGCCATAAATTGCATAGACCCGGACCCTGCAGACGAACCCAGTGAACTGAAGTCTCTGCCGTACAAGGACACTGCATCTGTCCAAAACTGCAGTGTCCCTAAGGAAGAGGGAGAAGTTTGTGAGCTGTCTTTAACCTTCACAAAACTACAAATCAGGGACTCTGAGGAAGACCTTACGTATCCAGTTGAGGAAACTGGCCAGCCGGAGTCAGTATCTTACGTGAGTGCAAGTGACAGGCCTGTCAGAGAACTTCATCACTCCAGAATAAAACACACGTATCTGACTAACGCTCCGATGCAGAGCACGGCAGCACCACATACTCGGCCATCCTCAGATCTGTGCTGTACTACTGGGAACATGGAAGATTCCACTGCTGGCTCTGATAGCAAGAGGCTATTAATGGATACTCCTAATGCACATACAGCTTCTGAGTGCTTCAGACACCACATTAGAGAGCCTCCCAACCTCACCTACATCCCCCCACGGAGTGTTGATATTCAGTCTTCACGCAGAAGAAGGACCAGCGCACAGCGCAGAAGGAGCCACTTAGAGCCTGAACGTGACTCTGCTGACTCCAGTGAAGTAAAGGTGGAGAACTGTAATTCAGAAGTAAATGAAATCCAGGAGCCTTACGTCATTATTGACAAAACCGACCAAGGAATGTTATGTCATCACACTTGATCCTACTAGTGCTTTGTTTGGGGTTGGGTTTGGTTTTAAATTTTTTTGTTATTATCGACTGAGAGAGTTGGGCTTGTTCAGCCTGGAGAATAGAAAGCTCCAGGGAGACCTTATAGCACCTTCCAGTGCCTGAAGGGGCTACAAGGAAGCTGGGGGGGACTTTTTACAAGGGCCTGTAGTGACAGGACAAGGGGGAACGGGTTTAAATTGAAAGCGGGGAAGTGGATTAGATATCAGGAAGAAATTCTTCCCATAGAGGGTGGGGAGGCACTGGGACAGGTTGCCCAGAGAAGCTGTGGATGTCCCATCCCTGGAAGTGTCCAAGGCCAGGCTGGATGTGGCTTTGAGCAACCTGGTCTAGTGGAAGGTGTCCCTGCCCATGGCAGGGGGGTTGGGACTAGATGGTCTTTAAGGTCCCTTCCAACCCTAACCATTCTGTGATGTTTGCATTAGGAGTAACAGTTTAGATCCTACAGAAGCAATAGCCTGTACTGCAGGTTTTATACCTGTCTCCACTTAACAAAATTTTTTGTTGCTACCACCACAAATTTCAGGAGAAGCACTGAGCCTTGTACTCGTTCACTGCCACCAGAGGAGGGGGGATCCAGCTGCTGCTGCCCTTTCCCTTGTCCCTGTTCCTGCCACTCAACTCTGCACCAGCTCTGGAGTTCACTGGACTTTTCTGTAAGCCAGTTCATCTCACTAAATGGAAGGGAGTAAATGCTATTCTCTGACATTTTAGTGGCAGGAAAGAAATGAGACTTGAAGGGTCCCAGTGAGCATTAGAGCCAGGCTGAGGGATATCCTGTAGGCTGGAGAGCTAGGCAGGGCAAAATCTAATGCAATTCTGTAAGGGCAAGTGTCAAGTACTGCA